CGTGTGCACAGTAGATTAGGAAATCGGCGGTATAATTGTCGATTGGGTGATATGGGCTTGGAGATCAATGGTGTAGACAAGATGACTAGCAAAAGGGGAATTACGGGATGATTGAGATGGGTGTTAGTTCATATAAATGGGCATTCGGGACCAAGTGGTATAAGCATGGTATGAGACGTGCTGGTCTGCTTGTCCAGTTATATGAATTAACGGGAATAGATGAAGAACATTCATGCATTATTATTAATAATGTGATATTTGGTTGCATGATTGCATGTCACTTAATTTAGTTATTTCAATCTACTGTGGTAAGGTCCCATGTCCCTACTGAGCTGTGGTTGCTCATCCCTCACCCTGTTTAACTTTTCAGATGAATTAGTGGGCAAGACGAGGACTAAATCGATTGAGGCTGAATTAGATGAGAGTAGTAGGGTTTTATTTATTTCCTGTAAAGTTGTAAGCTATTTTTATAAGAGAAGTTTAATTTTAAACCCATCTTTCGGCTTTCTTTTTATTTTATTTACTCACGCGCCGGGCGCGAGATTTCCACCTACCTCCGGGTCCGGGGCGTGACACCACGAGCGGCCTAGTAAAGGACAACATACGCTCGTCATGCTCTTGTAATGAATTTGAATTTAATGCCTTAGTAAAAAGGACAAAATTGAAAAAGTGGAAGTCATAACAAATTTATAATTTTACCTCTGTGAGTCCTCTTCATATCTAAAAAACAATATTAAGTACAAACTCAGTAACAAATTCGATAGATGATCATTGAAACAAGAAACGAATTCAGTAGACTACCACTGAAAAACGGAAACAAATTTGATGTACTACCACTGAGAAACTGAAACAGATTTAGTGAACTACTACTGAAAAACGAAACATATTCAATGGATAACCACTGTAAAACAGAAACAAATTCGGTGGACTCCCACTGAAACAAGGTAAGTTAATAAATAGGGTCCATGAGGGTAATTTAAGAAGAAAAATGGGGTGTAGTGAGTAATTTTAAATTTTACTAAGATTCAGTGGGATATAAAGAAAATGTGGGGTGCAAAGAGCAAATTTTATCTGTTTTATTTATTTATTATTTTTATTTTTTAAATGAACGATTTGGCTCCCCATGGATCTTCCTGTAACCATTAACCAACATGATTATGATATAATTATTTGATTGCTTTTTGACAACTTGAATTTTAATCTAGATAGACATTATTCCACATTTTCCTAAATTGGGCGAGTGCACCCCATTATCCCACACCATAAAAAGTAAACTATCTGCAGTGGAAGAGCAACTGAGAAAAGGCAAAGTTCCAAATTCCAATCATTAAAGTTCATATTTATACTACAATAAGAGACATTTATCTTGGAAGCCTAAGAAGCAATTACAAGAACTGATCAATCTAGATAGACACAAACCTGTTGATTAAAATACCAAATATCTAGAGTTGATTGATCACTATACTATTTTGGATGGAAATCTAACTGTTATTATCTTCACTTTTTATTATGGTTTCTGGTGTGAGACTAGAGTGTGAAATTGAGGGAGTGGAAGCTGAAATTGGGTTTCTGCTTCTTAGCTCCACATTTTTTCTGGCAAATTGATGCCCCACTGATTCTTTCATAGTCTCAGGTCCATAGACCAACACTCCAATATCAGATCCACCTGTCTCATCTGGAAACTTTGCAAAGATATCCGCTGAATTCAATAAATGTTAGAAACATATCCTATAGTCTTGTATGCCAGAACAAGGAATTTTTAAAGGTTTGGAACATGGAAAAGATTTCATGGATAAAAAAAGAATCCAAGTACCTTCAAAGTTAGGCCTGCCTCCAAAATGGATTTCATGTTCCTCAAGAGCATCACTTGCTTGTGTTGATCCTTTTTCTAAAGCTTTGCTTTGTTTTTGGAGGGTTGGAGGAATCTGTTTCTTTAGCCTTCTCCATCTTATAACAAGGGCTACAAAGATGCTGCAAATTAATGCCAAAATGAAGGAAGATATGATAAGAAGATCTGCAACCGAAGATGGAGTCTTCTCCTTGGCGGGATTTTTCTGGAAGGGAACAAAAATGTGGTTGAACATAATGAGAAAGATGAAAAACAGGATGGAGGAAATTCCAGCTATGGCAGCCATCCAAAGTGAGTTTTCGAGTTCACTGATTGAAAAATTCAAGAACTTTGTGCTCACTGTTTGCACTTGAGAAAACTCGTTTACTAGTTCTCTTACTGTTGCATCAGACTGCTCTTCTTGGGTCACAAAGACTTTAACTTTCGGAAGGCATTTTTCTGCTGGCTGGCCAAATATTAGAGGTGAGATTGAGTTCAACAGACAAATGTCTTGGGACTTCTTCACAACATATATAAGCTGCATTCTTGGTAGGAATTTGTTTATGCCGCTGTTTTGGGACGAAGCAAGTTCCTGTATGATGCTCAGAACTGGGGTTATTCCAATTCCTCCAGTAACAAGAAGTAGACTATCATATCTGCACAAGATTTCAGATTCATGTTCACCAGATTTTGAGATGCTAATTGATCATCACTGAGCAGTTAAACAATATATATTCTATAATGAAAAGTTAATTTTTTATGCACCTTAGGAGGTCCATAGAGACAGGTCCATAAGGGCCTTCTAGAGCCGGAAGTAATGCTAAATGAGTGCCACTCATATTTGGATATACTTGGTACCTTCACAAATATAATGCTTGTTGGTGTACATTTGGGCCCTGCAATTAGTGGAATGTGATGTTTCATATGATTTCAACAATTTTAGAGAACTTCTGGTTAGTAAACAAGGTCTAGAAAAATTACCTGGATCTTTTGGTAGAATAAGCTCTATAGCTTTGGAGGGGAAGATTCGTGCTGAAAGAATGCATGTTTCGGGTCAAGATTGTATGATCAGAAGGAGCTTGTCGAGGCCAAACAGAAAATTTCCAGGGAAAACCATGTAGAAGTGACGGTCTCCAGCATGAAACAAGAAGAATACCAGAAAAACCATGTAGAGATGGTGTGTGTAGTAAAATATTTCAAACTGTTTTCTCCTTATTTGAGGAAATGATGTGATCCAAATCACTAACCCTGTGACCAGACAGATCTCCCCAGCAAGGTATATCCGCCCGCTTTTCTGCCATTCCCATATCTGTGATTGAATGAATTGCACAAAAATGCCAATACCAAAATAATACAGCAGAGTTAACACCGAACAGAAAACCAAATGATTGAAATGATCCAAATGAAAAAGGACTAGGATTTACCTCCTCCTGGATAAAGTGGCTGACCCCCAAAATGAACAAAGTGCTTGCACCATGGAAAGTGGCAAAAAATATCATTGCAGTCCCAAGCCATATATGGTATCTTACACTAGAAATTGTTGTTACAGAAGCTTCAAACTGGATGCCAAGCAACCGAAATAAGGCCAGACCTCTTAATTTAGGGAAAAGAAGAAAAAGCAGCAAACCAAACCGAGTTTCCACCTTTAGGTACTTGAGTTGCCATCTGAGATACGGTTTAAGCATCAATCATGATGAAGTTCTTGTTTCTAAATGTTCGAAATAGAAAACTTTAGGATTTAGAACTCACGAATTCAGCATTAGTGATTTAGCAAGCTTCAAGTTCTTGAAATCATTTGAGATGCGTGCATAAAAATTCCAAGCTAAGAACAGGATAAAGAGGAAGACTGCTAGTATTTCTAGAGTGGACAAAACACCCAGAAGGGTGTTCACTACCAATGGATTTGAGAAGCCAGCAGTCAATTTCCTCCCTTTTCTGCTATCAAAATTAAAGCACACAAGTAGAAGTTAAATTGGCATCTTGAGTGATCATAACCCAATGACATAATAACATGCACTACCTTCTTATTGATTCCCTTGGCTTCAAATTCAAGTAGAATGATCGAATAATAGCCAAAGCAATAGGAGGAAATGTATGCACAGCCAAATTAAGACCTGCAAAATATTCAGTATAGTGTTTGTCTTTCCCCCCATTGGATATAGCAGAAAGCAAAATCTATAAATCCAAATGAAATCTGAATTATGTACCATAATATCCAAACAGTGTAGCCCTTGCTTTATCTTCAGCCGCCTTCCATTTTCTTGTCCATAGCTGGTGGTAACTCCATGTGAATAACCAAGTGATGAGAGAAAGATACTCTCTTATGAGAGCATATAATTCCCATGTTGAGGTGTTCCACTTTCTTGCCGGAAATTGGTGTTCACCAGTGTGATGTCTAAAGAGCGAGACTTTCCGCTGAAGTTTTAATTTCACTTCGATGCATGGAAAAGGGTGCAGATCCTAGAAGAACAAAATATTCTAGATGCAAAGCTACTGAAATCAGTTAACATGCCTGAAAGCCAATAACTGACTTGTATTTCAATAACCTACCCCGCCCAATCAAAATGTTGTCCAGTCATGTTAAATCTTGACCAGTGGGTTAGTCAGCCATGCGTCAACTATACCAGTGGGTTAGTCAGGCATGCGTCAACTATCTTAGAAGTCCGTACCTGATACAATTTTGAAGCAGGAAAATTTCCAATCATGGTCTGCAAAGTTGCCCTGGGGAGATGCAATAGTTGCTGCACGCTGAATATTCCTCTTTTGCTTATCGAGTCAGCAAGTTCAACATTCATGCATGGCATCATCCATAAGGAAGAATCCCCATCAAACCATAAACCCTGAAAAGAACCCAAAAGATATGAGAAGAGGCTGGGAGGTGAAAACTCTACTTGTTAAGGAACAAATCTGTTGAGAATTAAGCTACTCACTGAGCTTAATAAGAAACTGCAGATGACAATCCTGCAGATTGTTCCTGAGAAGAATGAAGAATTGAAGAACTTTCCCTTTT